AGTGTGCTTCCGTTTTTATCTGATTGGCTGTTTTTATTAATACACCAGGGTAAAAACCCAGTACCTTCTGCTTGATTACATATACAGGCAATTTATCAACACAAATAGCCACTACACATAAAAAAGAAAGAAATAACACCAGATTTTAGAACAACCAACAACTTGAGCAAATATTTAAAAACAACAGAAGTGAAAAGAAAATCACTTACGAAGTTGGGTATACAAAATTGAATGTGACGATTGTTCAAAAACTTACATTGGTCAAACTGATAGAATTTTTAACAAACGTATAGCCAAACATAAAAGGGCTTTAAATCATAGAAAAACATATTTTACGTACGCACTTCTAGACCAGAATCATTCTTTTTATAATAAATTTCAAATTCTTTACATCCAAAATAAAGGCCTTAAGCTATATTTATTAGAATCTACAGAAATTAATAAAATAAATAATTCCGAATGAATAGCTTGAGACAAACTGTTCTCCCCTTCTCAACATATTCAGTTAAAGACTATGAAGTGTAAACATATTATACCAAAAATAGCTCACTTGAGAAAGGCACTCTGCCTAAACAACTGTAGTGATAAGATACATATAGATTTATAGGTATTTGCAAATTGAAAAAAATTCAAGTATTAAGTCACATAACTTAGAGAGCAGGTGCTAATATTTCATTAATAATGAACAAATCATATATATAAGATCAATTTTAGACTACATGTGCATATTTTACAACCATGCAGCCAAAACTCGCCTAAAAAAGTAGAAGTGTTATTAAATAAATGCGTTTGATTATGTATGGGAGCTCTAATAAGCACACCGAGATCTTATTTAAGTGTAGAGTGCAATGAACCACTGCATTTAGGAAGAAAAACTCTATACGAAAAGTTTAGAATTAAAACCATTGCTTAAGAGAGTTTAATGGTGGACAAGTGTCAAAAACTTTTTATACATGATCTAACGAGTGAATACTGGCATAAAAAACCTACTTTACTACTTATTGAAACCTACAACACAATACTATTTAGATATATACAAATATATCTAAATAGTATTCCTAATATACAGCTAGTTTAAATGAGACAGTATTCGAGTTTTCCGGCGAATCTAAAGAACTCTATGTTTAATACAGATATAGAAATACTATGCCCCAAATATTACCAAATTTATACAAATGCTCCAAAAATTAACTCTACGTTGCCGCTGCTATGTATATGGGACCCTACAACCAAATACAGAGAAGGAATATGTCTAGATACAGATACCACGGTATTTACAGGAGAACTAATAGCAATATTAAGAGCAATGCAGTACATACCAACGATCACCAATAATGATAGATTCGTGATATTTTCAGATAGCAAAAGTGTTTTAACTAAATTGAAGAAGTAGACAGAACATTACACTTATATTATTCTGTTAGATAAAAACCCATTGCAATTTAAAAAATAATGATTGTAGACAAACTAGCAAATAGTGCTACAGAATTAGACACTATGAATAGAAGTTAACACTAAATGAAGAATAGGCTTATATTAATATTAATAAAATCAACAACTGAAAAGAATGGTATATCAATTCCAAAAAGGAACTCTATTGTAAAACTATCCAAACAGAGATTCCATCTAAAAGCTGGTTTAGTGACTATCAAGGCAAGAAGGTCTTTATATCATTTAGACTTAGGTTTGGCTACTCCTTAGTTCCACAACATAAACATAAAATAGGACTGTCAGACACAAACCGTTGTGAATGTGGAGAATTAGGATTCACAGAACATATGATTAGATTGTAAATAAAAAAAAGAAGTAGATTATTTTATAGATCAAATTTAGATTACACAATATATAAAAAAAAAACTTTGAATCTAAAAGCTTTGATTGCTAATAAAGATAAAAGTATCTATAAGATCCTAATTAAAGACATTATTCGTATAAAACTAAAATTGTAAAATTTTATATAAGTTAAAATATGAAAATAAAAAAGGCGAAAAAAATTAAAAAAAAAATAAATAAAAAAATAAATAATTAAAAAAAAAAGAATAAATAAAAAAATAAAACAAAAAAAAAACAAAGAGGGCCTAAACTTCCGAGGTGTTGAACCGGGTTTATGCCCTAGAGCTGTGTTACAAAAATATTTATATAATTTAATAGTTATTAGTAGGTAGTATTAATATGTAGTATTGCATATAGTATTTTTTGTCCAATTCTTCAACAAAAACAAAAAACGCTCACTATAATATATATGTAGGTACCGGTATAATACAGGGTGGTCCTTAAGTAATTGTACAAAAAGAAACCCCAGATTCTCCACTTTAAAATATTACGATTAAAGTCAACTTGCTTTAATAAAATGTTAATATTAAAAAAGATACAGGGTGTTAAAGTGGAAATTTACAATTTTATTTTTCGCTATAACTTTCACGTTTGTAAACATTTATGTATAAAAAGTTTATAATTGGGTACTATTCCATATCAGAAATTATAATTTGATGCATACTTTGATATAGACAATAGAGGGCGCCACATATGCCACATACGTTGCATACATTTGCACTTAACTTTTTTGTTCTTCAAGTTACCGATATTTTTGATTAAATATATTAGAGATCCATTATTTTAACAAAGAAAAGGTATACTTGTTAATAACTTCAAAACTCAACAGTTTTCGAGATAATCGCATTTTACAAATCAACTGCATAATTCTGATTTAACGCAATTACTCCAAACAATGAAAGAAAAATAGATAAAAACATCAATACTTCTGAATTTTGTTATAAAATACCTTTAATAAAGTTAATAGTTAACGGAATATTAAATAAAATAAATATATCAGCAAGATAATAAATAGAATTTGATAAAATACAGAATAATTGATTTTTTCACCAAACATTTTACGTTTTGTATTAAATTAAAGTCATAATCAAAACATTTTATTTACAAAACAAATTAAGAAATAGTTAAACTAAATAACACTAAACTTTTTGTCAAAGTAAGTGTTCGATATGTCCACCATTTTCTTTAATTCCTTTATCAATACATTCCATAAAATATCGTCTCATATTAAATAACATCATTGGTTCTAAAGAAACTGCTGCAGTACTTATTATAAGTATAATAATAGGTATTCTTTTGGAATTTTTATGAATTAAATAATTATATTAATATCTTACCACATAATCAAGGAATATGACTATCATGAACAATTCAACGTTTAGGAAAGTTGTTTTTAAATACTGTTCTCACTCCCCCTTCTCTGTAATGTATTGGTGTACCATCTTGAATAAACAAATTATTTAGGGTTAAGTTTGATGACAATTCTTGCAATAAATCAATAAAATCATTTTATAAAAAATGTAAATAAATCTGACCATTTAAATTGCAAGGTAATTCGCATATCCGTAAAATATCATTCAAAATTCATATTTAAAATGCATGTCCTATGGTTTGGAACCATTGGTAATTATTTTTTACGGATATGCGAATTATCTTGCAATTTGAATGTCGAAATTTATTTACATTTTTTATAAAATGATTTTATTGATTTATTCAAAGAATTGTCATGAAACTTAAGGCGAAATATGTGGTTTCTACAAGATGGTACACCATTACGTTACAGAGAAAGCGGAGTGAGACAGTGTTTAAATACAACTTTCCTGAACGTTGGATTGTTCGTGGTAGTCATATTCGTGTGGTGAGATATAAATATAATTATTTAATTCATAAAAATTTCAAAAAATTACTTATCATTATACTTATAACACTTATAATAAATACTGCAGCAGTTTCTTTAGAACCAATGATGCTATTTAATATGTGACGATATTTTATGGAATGTATTGACAAATGAATTAAAGAAAATGGTGGGCATATTGAACACTTACTTTGACAAAAAGTTCAACGTTATTTAGTTTAACTATTTCTTAATTTGGTTTGTAAATAAAATGTTTTGATTATGCCTTTAGTTTAATACAAAACGTAAAATGTTTAATGTAAAATCCAATTATTCTGTTATTTATCAAATCCTGTTATTTTATCCTGCTGATATATTTATTTTATTTAATAATTCGTTAACTATTAACTTTATTAAAGGTATTTTATACCAAAATTCAGAAGTATTGATGTTTTTCTTTAATTTTCTTTCGTTATCTGGAGTAATTGAGATAAATCAGAATTATGTAGTTGATTTCTAAAATGCGATTATCTCGAAAACTGTTGAGTTTTGAGGATATTGAGAGAAGTATACCTTTTATTTGTTAAAATAATGTATCTTTAATATTTTTTAATAAAAATACCCATAACTTGAGGAGCAAAAAAGTTAAGTGCAAATATATGCCACGTATGTGGCATATGTGGCGCCCTCTATCAGATACATCAAAGTATACAATAAATTAAAATTTCTGATATTTAATACTACTTAGTTGTAAATTTTTATACATAAATGTTGACAAACATAAAAGTTATAGCAAAAAATAAAATTTTAAATTTCCACTTTAACACCCTGTATCTTTCTTAATATTAACATTTTATTAAAGCAACTTGACTTAAATCCTAATATTTTAAAGTGTAGAATTTACGGTTTCTTTTTGTACAATTACTTAAGGAGCACCCTGTATATGTAGGTACCGGTATAATATATGTGAATTAATATTTTGAATTATTATTATCAAATAGGATATAAATATTCATAAATATAATGAGTACAAGAGATATATTATAAGAGTAATTTTAATTCGGCTAATGGATTAAATCCACAGTAAAAGAATAATTTTCCAGAAATGGTAAAATATTTTCATTGAATAATAATAATGATATTTAATAATGACAGTCCAAGCATGGATAGTAGCAAAATATAAGAAAGGGGAAAAATTGTTGTGTATATAGTTAAGTATGCATTTTTTAGATAATCATAATTTAATAAATTGTATTTTTACTTACTACTTTTCTTTGAAATAAAGTATATAGAAACAAAACATGGGTTGACTTAAAATAAAACTCTAACGAAAATTTAAATAATTTACTTTTTATTAATTATCCTTATAGTGGCCTCAACATTTAATCTCTTATCAGCAGCTCCTACTAACTCAGACTTTTCGAACGTAATACCCTTATCTAACATAGCAGTATTTAAATTTGTACACTTAGACCTTTTTGAAATCACATATCCTTTAATATTCACTATGACCTCGTAGAAAAACTTCACAGCCTCATCACTCGATCCTATATAAGTCACGGTAAGTTCCACAAAGGATTTGTAATAAAAGTAGACGCATTTAAAAATGTTACCGTAACAAAACACTACGAACACGTCATCCTTGCTTGTTAACCTTTTATTAAACTCATTAGTGAGGAATATTTCCGAGGAATGTTCGTTTTTTATGTGTTCTTTTAGGTTAAATAAGGTACTATTAACATTACAAGGTTCTAAAATGCATTTGTAATCATTAAATTGACAGTTGGTTTCATGATTATGCGCACTATCGAAGTCCAAAGTCTCCCTACACCCTTTTTTATGGTTCTTACACAGCGTTTTAGCTTCTTTTTCTAATTGTTTTACACAATGGACACACAAATTTGATTTATATTTAAGACACTCATTTTGACCTATTATAGGATAGTCAGTGTGATTAGGAATTTTACCGCACTGCAGACACACTGCTTCCCTTGTATCATAGGTTCTTAAGGTTTCATAGATGTTGTGGCTAGATACTGGCGTTGCTGTGATATCAGAAAAAAGCAATTCTGGTTTACTTCCCAAAAAAACAGTCCCGTCCATCTTTAATTCGACTTCTTCAGCCTCTTCGGTGTTGGTATTTTTAATGACTAAAGTATTGTCACAGTTGCCTTTAATATCTAGGGTGTAAGATAAGTTTTTCATCTCGCTGGTTTTGTCTTTTATTTTATACGAGAACGTGGCTTTTACCTGGGGTGTTTCACAATGAAGTTCGGATCCATAGCTGCTCTGGGAATCGTTGTAAATATCATCAATGTTGCAATACCTTGAAGAATCAGTAGATAATGACATTAAACTTCTATAAGGACACGTAGCTTCATGTTCCTTATCCTCGCACCACTTAAATTTGTACGGGCAACCCTGGGTATTGTACCTACACGGAAAAACTAACACTTCCGCAACACTTTCCAGTCCAATCTGTCTGACACACTTTTCTTTTTCGTACGCAGGAAGTAACTTGTAACACTTTCCGCACACTTGTTTGTTTTCTGCTCGTATCATGAGAGGCTTCGAACTGAGGTAGCTGCCACAAATAGAACATCGTAAGTTTTCAAGTACGTATTGTGGGATCTGCAACATCGTGACTACGGTAATTTGCTATTTTCTATATCGTCTAGCGGCACGGTCATCACTCAGCGAATTTTTACACGTTCGTACAATACGATTGCTGCTTGACGACTGTCACTAATAACAAAAATTATGTTTACCTTGAATCATTAATGGGCTTTTGATAAGATAAGAATGCGTATTCGATTTTGTTAAAAGAGGAGCGAACAAGAAGTTTTAGTTTGAACAGGTGATTTTAGATACGGAGATAGTAATGTTTTCTATATTAAATTTCGAATTATTCTGACAGTGTGAAGGTTACCTTGATAATAAACTACATTCGCTGTAGTACGGTTCATGAGGTATAAACTTGAAAAAAATATATGTCCTAAGTGATATCGGAAAATCAGTTATTAAATTTTGAACAAATAACTATAAATGATGTTATGATGAAGTTGTGCGAAAACTGTTATAAAAAAAATCAAATCTCAACAGTCAGAACTGTACAGATAGATTAAAATTATATTATAAATTAAACCGCCATCAACTTAAATTTCTAAAATTAATTTTTGTAGGGTAGACTGGGGAGAGTTGAACCAGTGGGAGGTTTGAGCCATAAACATTACATTATTATCCATAACGAATACTTAAATAAATTTATTTCGTCGGTGACCTGGCAATTTCTCCTATCTGCATTTTTTATGAAAATGAGTTATCGATGAATTCGGAATCTGCTTACACCAAAGATTCGTCCGTACAAGTCCTAGGAACGAGAAAAATGTCTAAATATATAAAAACGCTACTTGTAATTTCTCCTATATAAATTCGCGCGGTAAACTATATGCAAAATGTCATATCTTGTCAGTTTGTATGGTGTAGTCATAGGAACAGCGATTAACTAATAGGAGAATTTGTTTGTCTCAATAATTGTATAGTAATCATGTCGAAGAGAACTTTGCGTATTCTTGCAATGGCTAACGAAAACTCGATTGTAAATAGAAGCGACCAAATAGAAACTCTACTAGTAAACCAACTGACCAACTCTGATGAAATCGACGCATGGTATAAACCTAAATATAGAAAATACGCCTCAGTTATGCTATTAGACGAACCTCTGTCTGAAGACAGTCATACTATTACTACGCTTACAGCAATGCAACATTGTATGGAGCTGGAAGACTTAACAGATTGCCTAAAAGACTTTAACGAAGTAGACTGTTTAGCGGATAATAATATTTGTGTTATACCAAGTGTATCTAAAGAAAGCATTTTTTAATAACAGCAGTTGTGATACCAATAATTGTATAAACCTCGTATTAGATAATTTAACAAGTAAACAAATACTATCGCCGATGAACAAAAAAAGGGTCGTATCTCTTGTGCTATAGCAATGTTTTATTGACGAAGACCAGACTAATGAAATTACAAATATGGGTAATGTTCAAGAAAATCTGATGAAAACAACCAGTGATAATGAAGTTACACTATTGTCGTAGCGACACACAAAAATTGTATTTAGAATATTCTTTTAACAGTATGTCAGATTTGTATGGTGTTTATGTAAACAGTTTTTGCCAAGAATAGAATAGAACTCCTTTAGGTCGCAATGTATTCTGAAAACGATTTAAGGAGAATAATTTTGCTTTATATACACAGAAAAAGACCAATGCAATATTTGTTCTGCATTTGAATATAAGAATACGACTGATGAAGTATATAGAGCTCATATAAAGAGAAAGGAAGATGTCAGAGAAGCTAAAACTTTGGATAAAGCCATAAGTGAAAAAAGCTGAAATAATAGCACTAACAATGGACCTCCAAGCCGTAAAATTGTGCTCATATATACCACCGAACAAAATGTAATTTAAAACCAAATTGTCCTGCCATAACTTCACAGTTTACAACCTAAAAACTCGCGATGTGCATTGGTTTTCAGAAAACGAAAATAACCAGCTCAAAACATCCACATTTGTTTCCTGTATCATACATTATTTAGAGGAGAACTGTGCTGCCGACTCCAAAACACCAGTAGTTATTTATTCTGATGGATGCGGTTATCAAATCGTAATAATATCCTGTCCACGCTTTACTTGAACCGGGTCACTCCCAAATGGAATGTCACTCGGTACATAGTATAATAGAAAGAAATCTTAAAAATAAGGAAATCCATTTACCCAGTGACTATGCTTTCATAACAGCTCAAGTAAGAAAGGGAACTAAGCCATATAGAGTCAAAATATTAGACCATACGTTTTTAAAGACTATTCATCCTCCAACCACATGCAATATTCCTCAATCCGACCAGGAAGAAAAGCGTATGACCCAACCATTACTGATACAAAATGTATCAAATACGATCCAGTTGGGACCGTAGAAATAAAAACTGACCATAAAGGAGAATACTTACAAGTTCCTATCAGACCAAAGACTGAGACCTAAAAACGGAGAAATGGCACATTTATAAGATCTAAAATTAAACCTACCGAAAGATTCGCATTTCTGTTATGATGGTCTTTTACACGGATAGATCCTTTTATTTTGTTCATTTAGACATATACCTACTTATAAAATAATTTTTGTTCGTTGTTTTAATATTGCATAAAACTGTTTTATTTAATTAATGTTTAATTTCAAAGATTTATTCATACTATTTGGATAAAGGGGCATTTATGCTTAATTTTAATAAACAAAAACTCCTAAGTTCACATTAAATTAAAATCATTATCTCCTATGAGTAACATTACTTAAAGCAATACCTCCTATGTAGCTTAACAGAACTAAATTTAATTTAATATTGACCGTTTTCATAAGAAGTAACAATGTTGCTTTTACACAGATCATAACATACAATCAAACATTTGAAATATGTTAAAATTTTATAATTATAAAGTTTTTTGTCTCTCCTGAAAAGTATAGGTGAAGTCACATAAGAGATATTGCCAGGTCACCGATGATTTTTTTATTTATATTATATTTTTAGTGGATCCTTACTCTTTGCTTCTTTGTCGTTATCTAAGTCCCAAGTCAAATCGAAGTCTGTTAATAAAGTTAGAGTGAAAAGTTGTTTTTGAGGCTAAACAATGTAAGTTTTTTATCAAAATGTATAACGATTCTTTATTTACATTATTATATTTAGAAATATGTAGACGAATTCTACGAATATGATGCTTATTTAACATACTTTTATGTATTCAATTATTTGTTAGGCTATGTGTTAAATGCAAAACCATAATTTATTGTGGCTCCTGGTACGAAAGGAGGGATGGGATGAACATATTTTATGTGGAAGGCTCGAGACATGGCTCAAACCTCCCATCATGATAAAAAAACTGTTTTCCAGTATGTTTTCTTTCTTTTCAATATTAAAAAACGTGGCTCACATTCGTTTGCTTTTCTGCTAAAATTTGCACTATGGCATCTACTGATCCTGAAATTTTGAGAACTGCAGTACGGGAAATATGTAGCACTATTGGTAAAATTCGCATAGTCGCTAAAAAATATAATATTGATAGAACGACTCGAAAATGTGTCGTTTGTAGCAAACTTTAATTCTTCGCAAATTTTTACTAATCAAGAAGAATATTTGTTAGTTCAATACCTACTCAAATGTGCTAACTTTATACATTATAGACTTACTACAATCCCAGTAAGAAAGTTTGCTTATATCTTTGCAACTGAAAATAATAAAAACATTTCAGCAGCTTGGGAGAAAAATAGAGCTTCTACGCGTGACTGGCTAAGAAGTTTTATGTCACGACATATTAAGTTACCACTTAGATCACCAGAAGTGACGAGTGTAAGACGTGCCACTGCATTTAATAAATAAACCGTTTGGCTATTTTTTGACAATTTAAAGACCATCATGGGATGAGAATCTATTACATCTGATTGTATATATAACGCAGATAAAACTGAAGTTACAACAGCACATAAGCCGCAAAAAATAATTGCGAAGAATGGGCAGAAGCAGGTGTCAAAGGCAACATCCTGTAAAACAAGATCACTGGTAAACAGTTGTATGCATTATAAGTGCGTCTGGTAACACTATTCCCCTTATTTTTAATTTATCCGGGGGTTAGGATCTGGGATTACATGACAAGAAGGCTTCCCATTGGATGCTGATGCTGCTGTTAACCCATCAGGCTGGATGACTCATGAGAATTTCGAAAAATATTCACTGCATTTACTGCAATAAATATTCCCGAGTCGACATGAATCACAAGTGTCTGCTGATACTAGATAATCATGATAGCCATATTTCGCCAAAAAGGCATAACACATGTAAAAACAAAGAAGTAATACTACTCTTTATTCCACTTTATACTAGCCATAAGTTACAACCCTTGCATATCAACGTTTTTGAGCCATTTAAAAGATTTTATAATGTATGGAGTAGAAGCGTGGACACTAACTGAGGCTATGCTTAAACGCTGACAGCCTTTGAGATATGGGTATACAGACGACTACTGAAAATAAGCTGGGTCGACAGAGTTAGAAATGAGGAGGTCCTAGACGGCTGAACCAAACAACAGAACTGGTCAATATAATAAAGAAACGCAAGCTGGAATACTTCGGTCATATTATAAGAGACCCTGAAAAATATGATCTTTTACATCTGATCATTCAGAGAAAGATCCAAGGTAATCGTGGCCCTGGTAGAAGAAGAACATCATGGCTGAAAAATCTAAGGCAATGGTATGGAAAATCAACTACATCGTTATTTAGAGCTGCTGTCAATAAAGTCACGATAGCGAATATGGTAGCCAACATGATATCCAACGATCGATAACGGTTATGGAACTAGAAGAAGAAGATAATGAAGCAGCCGATAACTGGATGGTTAAAAAGCCTGCATAGCTGATATCATTAAAGGAAATTAACTGAACTTACAGGCCCAGATCCGTCTCAAGCTTTACAGGCCACAGGAAATTTACTTTTGTTTACCCCTCATAATTCCCAAAATAATACAAATGCATTTGTAAGCGCTAAGGTTAAAAGCCATATTCGAAATCTCTTACACGTAAAAAGAAAGCTGGAAGGAAATGTGGGAAAACATGGATCTTAACGGATACTCCCGAAAAAGACCAAATAGAAAGAGAATTTAAAAGAAGAGCTAAGAACAAGCAAAAGCAAAATAAAAAAGGAGGAAAGGGTGGAAAGATTAACAAAAATGGCATTAGAAGATGAAAAACAAGTGTCAGGCAAACAAAATAAAATTGAGGTAGTCATGGAGGCTTCTGAACAATCTGGCGATTCTTTCAATTTTCCGAGTTCTGATGAATTAACCAATATTAAG